TGATGTCCCCCAGGGCAGGGCTGGCCCTTGGGGCTGCCAGGGCTCTGCTGGCTCCTGTTCCACTTGCCCTCAGCCCAAAGCCCCTGAGTCCCTTCCCTAGGACAGCTCCCCAAGCCTCGAGGTATAAGTTGAGATCCCTTCCAACAAAGGTCACAGAAATGGAAGTTAAGGCACAGAGAGGGAGATGGTCTGAAGTTACATCAGTGAGAGGATTCACTGGGAAGCCAAGGCTGTTTCCTGTTTTTTACCTAATGTAGCTGCTCTCTAGGAATTCATAATTCTGAATTCCTGATTGTTTTTTTTTACAGCAAGCTCAGCCAGGAACAGGGAACTGATGGTTGCTTTTCAAGTGACTTAGTTTCACTCTGCTCCTGATTCAAATCTGTTTGACCTTCCCTCTGCAGCATAAAAGGATTGATATTGGGAAACCTTTTTCTACACTGTGCCACTGGAGTTTGATTTGAAAGTGGGGAAGAAGGCAGTAGCAGTGAAGGAAATATATTGTTACTTCCCTCCTGATTTGCAGGATCTGTTGCTTCATCAGAGTCTAACTCAATATTTTTAATATGGTAAAAATTTTGGAGTAGAAAACTCAAGGAACTTGCAGATGCATTAAAACTGTGAGGTTGTTCCTAGAGTCTCCAAATTGAGCAGGTTGCCCTGGGTTTAGAGCAGCCAGAGTTTTGCTGCCGTGGTGAGCAAGCAGTCACCTCTCTCCAGCCCATCCAAAACACAGCGAGGGTTCTTCTCAGCAGCTTTTTGTACATTTGGCCCTTGCGCTTCCAGCCTTGGTTCCTTCCACTCCCACTTTCTGCAGGTAAGTGGGACAGACCTTGTGTAAGTGTCTGAAGGCACTTCTCATGTGGCCACAGAATACTGAAGGGTGGGCAGGTGAGCAGCCCTGGCTTTGACCAGAACTGTTTGGAAGCACTCCTGCACTGTGTCCACCCTGCATTTCCACTACAGGACCAGTCAGAATGATCCTTTCACTTCCCAGGGATCTTGGGGATGTCACATTAACATCCTCTGGTCCTTCTTTGGGGCTGTGGTTGGAGTGCTGGGGAGTGGATTCTGCCCTGGTACTGAAGCCAGACAAGGGCTGGGGAGCTGCTATGGTCTCCTTGGCTGCTGTGAAGGTCACGTCCCCAACTGATCTTGTCTGATTCCTCTCAGAGGGGTGTTTGGTTAATCACACAATCTTAGAATGGATTGGATTGGGAGGGACCTTAAAGGCTCATCCCATTCCACCCTCTGGCATGGGCAGGGACACATTCCACTATTCCCAGGGTGTTCCAAGCCCCCTCCAGCCAGGCCTTGGACACTTCCAGGGATCCAGAGGCAGCCACAGTTTCTCTGGGCACCCTGTGCCAGGGCCTCACCATCCTCATTCCTTCCCAGTACCCCATCTAAGTCTGCCTGCTGGCAGTGGGAATCCATTCCCTGTGTCCTGCCCCTCCATCCCTTGTCTCCAGTCCCTCTCCAGCTCTTCTGGAGCCCCTTTAGGCCCTGGAAGGGGCTCTCAGGTCTCCGTGGAGCCCTCTCCTCTCCAGGTGAGCACCTCCAGTCTCCCAGCCCGGCTCCAGAGCAGAGGGGCTCCAGCCCACCCGCAGCACCCGCGCCTCAGCGAAGCATCACCCCGCGGCTCTGTGCTCTCCCGTCCCGTCTAACCCTGGCGCCGCGGCCCGGGGCTGCCCGGCCGGTCCGGGGGGCTCCCGCTGTTGCCATGACGACGCCCCCCTTTCCGCATCCCCCCGAAAAGCTGCGGCGGGGCTGAGCGCGGCCCTGCGGATGCGGCCCCGCGCGTTTCCACGGCGACGCCGCGGCTGAGCCGCCCCCTCCCCGCGCTCCCCGCGCACACTCGGACCGGCCCCGCGCCCCTCCCGCTCCGCGCCCCCCGCACCCCGGGCCGGGCCGGGCCGGGCCGGGCCGGGCAGCGCCGCCGGGCTCGCAGCAGCGCCCGCCCGGGTGCAGGTAAGGAGCGCGGCCGGGCGCCGCCGGCCCGGGCTCGCCGCGTCCCCGCCCGGCGTCGCCGCAGCCCGGAGCCCGCACGGGCGAGGCCCCGGCCGGGCCGGCGGCGCCGAGCCCGGCGCTGAGGGGGGAAGCGCCGACATCGCCGTGCCGGAGCCGCGGAGGGAGCGGGGGGCTGGCGCAGCGGGAGCGGCTCGCCGGCCGCGGCCGGGCCGCCGCTCCCCGCCGAGGATCGCGGCGCTGCGGGCCCGGGCCGCGCTGCGTCCCGCCGGTGCGAGCTGCGAGGCGCTGCCCGCAGGCACCGCGCTGCCCCGGGCCGGCCTCCCCGGACCGCGCCGGGCCGCAGCGCCTCGCACCGGGGACGCCCGGCCGTGTTTCTCCGGGCGCTTCTCAGGCGGCGGGGGAGCGGGTGCTGTCCGGAGCCTGCGGTGACGGCACTGCAGCCCTGCTCGGGGCCCTGCGGCGTGCAGGGCTTTGCTCCAGCCTAGCAGTGCACAAACAGCCCCGGCTGTGGACAGGGTGCTCCACATGGTCCAGGAAAGGTCCTGGACTGATGTTACTAGTTTTTACCTGGATTTCTTTACTAGTTATAAAAGAAAGTAAAACACTGGACAGTTAGAAACAGTTTGAGGTCAGATATCCATCCTGTTTAGATGTTTCCGTCTGCTTATAAGCGTGGAAAAATACCGAACTGTGGCGCTCCGGGTGGTGAGCGGGGCTGGTGCTCTCAGGGGCAGTGGGAGGTGGGTGTGGCGGTCCCTGTTGTCCTCCTCAGAAGTGCCCGGGCTTCAGGCTGCCTGCTGGCCTTGGCGTCCAGCTTGGATGGTGTCACCTCGACCCCTTTGGGGTGGCACATGGGATGGCTGGCAACTGCTCATCCTCTCCACCTGTGGATCTGAGCAGATCTACAGGCCTGAAAGCTGGTCCTGGTGACAGTGAAACTCCTGGGGACAGCAGGTGACACCCACCTGAGTGTCTCTGCTTTGTCGTCCGTGTCTGAACCTAAAGCTGAAGATGGCTTGCTGCTTTATTGCCCTTCTCTCTCTCATCTCCATTTCCACAGAACCTATTTTCTCTATTGAAACGTGTAACATGAACAGCCTCTTACTGCACAGAGGGACATTTCATCTGGTTTTGAGATGTTGATAAATACCGTGGCCTACTCCAAACCTCACCATGCTGCTAAAGAACCCAGCAGCAGAACTTTGTGGCCCCTGGTTTGTTCCAGAGGAGGCATTTGCTCCTGGCTTTGGAGCAGCATTCAAGTTTGGAAGGGAAGAAGTGTGTCATCGTCTTTCTCCACTGGGCCACCTGCCTGTGCCAAGGGTGTTCCTGAGTGCTCATGTGTGTTTACAAAGCAAGTATTTTCTGCCATTAGTTTCCTAAACACCTGCCCTGGGCAAGGCCAGAAGACAGGGGAAGATCTAAAGGAGCAGCTCTCAGCCCCACAGGTCTCTGTAGTACTCTGTGTGCCACTTGCAGCTTTAGCATGATCCCAATTAGTGGTCATTCTCACAGGCTCAATTTTGCCACTGGAGGGAATTAAAAATCCATATCTCTGCTGATGGCAAGGATGGGGAAGTTCTCTGTTACGGCTGAGGAAATTCCTGAGAAAAATAATTTACAGAATCTTGGGCTGGGGGAGGCTGGAGGCACCTCTGCAGGTCACCTTGCCCAG